GCCTCATCTTTCTCCCGCGGAGCAGCTGGTAGTTTCGAACTGCTGACCTTGCGGTTCACAGCCCAAGTCGTAACCACTACGCTACCAGAGCTCCTACAGCACTACATTAACCTATGTTGTGTTAAACAGTAAAGATTACACCTCAGGATAAAGAAAACAAAAATCCTCACAACTGGACCAATAAGCAAATCATAACAAATGGAGAAAAAGTTGAAGTTGTCAAGAATATAATTTTACTTAGAACCAATTCAATGAAACGTCAAGAAATAAAATGACATCTTGCAAAAGACCTCTTTGAAGTGTTAAAAAGCAAAGATGTCATTTGAAGACTAAGATATGCATGACCCAAGTCATAGTATTTTCAATCACATCAATAAGCATGTGAAAACTAGATAATGAATAAGGATAACCTGAGAAGAATTGATGCATTTGAATTGTAGTGTTGACAAAGAATAATGAACATAGTATGATGAACTTCCAGAGAATGAACAAATCTGTCTTGGAAGATGTACAGCCAAATGTACATCTTTTAAGCCAAATACTTAAAAGCTAAGTATTAAGAGACTTCATGTCCTATACTCTGGGCATGTTATCAGGAGGGAGTGGTCCCTGGAGAAGGACATCACACTTGGTAAAGCAAGTGGCCAACAAAAAGGAGGAGGACAAGATGGGCTGACGCAATGGCTGCAACAATAGGTTCACTATAGCAGTGATTGTGAGGAGGTCACCTATCCTGTCAGTATTTCGTTCTGTTGTATATAGGGTTACTATGTGTTGAAACTGGTTCAATAGCACCTAACAACCACAACAATTATTTAGCCTAACTCATTTTACATAGGATAAGTATTGAACTACTAATCATAAAGTTGACAGTACAAATCTACCAGCTGCTCCTTAGAAAACTTCTACAGGGTCACTATGAGTCAGACCTGACTTGATGGCACTTAACAACAACAATAACAGCAACTAATTTTAATTTTCACCTAATTCTATGCGGTTTAGCCCTATGAAGCACAGGCAGAGAATATGTGGAAACTCAGAAGCTAGAAAACGGCAGAAATGGTGTACAAAGTCAGGAAGTAAGCATCAATACATGAATTCTTAAAGATTGTTAAAATATTATTTACATCATTGCTTAGTTTTAAAATGTAATAGAAAAGGGATCTCATTCATAATAGGAGAAATACCTGGGGATTAATCTAAAGTATATAAAATCTGTTGCTGTTGTTGTTGTTAAGTGCCATTGAGTTGGTTCCAATTCACAGCGAACCGCTATAGTGTTTCCAAGGAATGGCTTTTGGGTTTGAAATGCTGACCATTAGGTTCACAGTACAGTGCTTATCCTATAGTGTTTAAATGCAGTAGGAAGAAAATTATGCATTTTAATGCACTATCGTGGCTGATACTATCAATGTTTCATCCACGTGTCTTCTGCCTACTTTTGAATACCCTGTAGCAATTCCTGTTTGCCCAATGGCAGTAGGCAAGTCATGATGTCTGAGCACAACATCAAGATAGCAGCGCTAGAGACTTATCAAGCAAAAGCACACTCAAGCAATGAGAAATGGTAGTCAGGACACCAGCAAGATTGAGGCTCAGTTGACCATACAGTACTTGCTCATTTAACACATTTTCTATCAGCTTTCCTTTCTCCCGTCTGACTTCCTTACTTTCTCACCAATCCTCAATATTCATCTCTCAAGTACACTTTTTACATCCAAATCCTTTTCTCAGGGTTTGTTTTTGAGGGAATCCGTATAGACAATGGCATCAAAGATAACCTAGGTATACGGAAGTGTATATCATTTTTTAAAAGAAAACCTCAGTATCATAGTGTTGTCAAATCTCTCAAAAATAATCTAAAATTTTAATTCAATGTTTTTATGAGTTGAACTGTGGCTGTCACAAAGATAGAATGAAGTTCTAACCCCTGAACCTGTGAATATAAACCTGCTTTAGAAATGGGGTATTTAAAGATTTAGTCATACTGAAGTAGTGTGGGTCCTAATTCTCTATGACTTCATATAAGAGGAGAAGAGACATGCCAATACAGCAATAAAAGTAGAAACTAGTCCTTGGATTAATCAAAATTTCTTCATGTTTTTTACTAAAACTCAGATGCTTGCACATTAAGGCAATAACTTCAGAATAATCCCCAAAGTATGTGTTTTTTATGAAATCTTTTCTTTTAGAGCATTGTGTAATATATGGGAGGGTTACTAGTATGAACACCAAGTGCTGATTGAGAATCTTCTATCACAACATTGTCCATAAGGTTTATGCTTTATATCCCAGTTTGATAAGTAGTATCTGGGGTCTTTAAAGCTCGAAGGCAGCCATTTGAGTTATTATTAGACTGTACTTGTCTGGATAAAAAAGAGAAAGATGGAAACCAAGGATTCAAAGAAAAAGTCTTCAGGACTAATAGCCTCATCTCTCCTGAGACCAGAAGAACTAGATGGTGCCTGACTACCACTGGAGACTGTTCTGACCAGGGATGTAAAGATGATTCCAGGCAGAATAGGAGAAAACTGTAGAACAAAACTATGAATAAAAGACCAGACTTATCTAACAAAGATCAACAGGGGCCCCCATGATTATTGTCCTGATATACTCTTCAAACTTTGAACAAAAATAATTCCCTAAGCCATAGATTGGCTCATAAATATAACAATAACACCCATGAGTACTGTGGTTCCTTAAAAAAAGGAAATCTTCAATATGAGACCAAGTGGCCAATATTTACTATACAGCAAAGATGACAAAGTCATAGGCGGGGGTTGGGGAATGGCAATTAAGCTTAGTTAATGGAGATAGAACAATCAGAATGGAAATAATGAGAATATTGACAATGTAACTAATGTCATTGACAGTATGTATATAAATTATTAAGTTTACTGTGTAAACTTTTACCAAAAACACACTGAAATATTTAAAGAAAAATAAAAGCATCTTCTCTGTGTGAACAACAGAAACCCTAATTAAAGCTGACTTAAAGAAAGATAATATATTATTTCATCTAGTCAAATTTAAAGTGTCTCAAAGAACACTCAGTCACTGGCAAAACTAGAAGGTTGAAGAATCAGTGAGTACCCTGCAGTGCTATAGGATAAGCTCTGGACTGATAACTACAAGGTCAGTGGTTCAAACCCACCAGTGCTCCCTGGAAGTCCTATACATGAACTGACTCCAAGGCACTTAATAACAAAAACATGTTCACTTGGTTCATTTATCACCAGAAATAACTTATTAAGTGACATTTTAATAGTGGCTTTTAAACCTAATACTCTGTATAGCCCCGAGATTTTCTCCTTTGTCTCCTTTTTAACTTCATGTAAGAAGTTAGCAGGCACTGAACAAGCAGTGATTAGGATGACTTTAGTAACAAGGTCAATCTGTTTCAACCAAAGAATTATGGCTTCTGTGGTCTATTGGAACTATCAATACACATCATACCCATACAGAAATACTACAGCAGTTGACACTAAAACAGCTATCTATCATTGTTTCCCTCGTGAAGCAGAAAATCAGAAGCAGAATTAAGCTTCCTAAGAAAAGACATCTATAAATTAACTACAGTCTACAACCATTGAAAAAATTTTAATAGTCTCTTTGGTACCAATCTATTTTTATAGACACATAGTCTTTTATACACACATACATGTATATACAAGTATTGTTATACTGACAAAGAAATTTCACAATACTTGTTTTTCATTTTAAGAATTGAAGACCATTACAACTTTGTGTTCCCCTTCATTTGTGAATATGTTAAGCTCATCAGGGAGTTGTTATGTAAAAGAAATTAGCAATTACATATTGTGTTTGCTCCCAGCTCTAGTCCAGGAGAAGGATTTGTTAAAATCAGCTGAAATTTTTCGTCTCCTTCTGGAATGTCATCATCAAGAATCCTGATGTCAACATTCTTATATCTTTCTCCATCAGCAAAATGAAGAATCTAGTCAAAAGGTAAATATAGACAACTACATGTTAAATAACTCTCAAAGTTATACATAATACTTGAAAAGAAACAGTCTTTCCAACAGTTATCAATGTTAAGAGTAAGCTATTTTGCACAACATTTTGTTCACATTTTTTCATTAAAGGTTTTTTGTTTAAATTGACAATATTTAGTTTTTTAAAAAATTGGGAAAGAAAAGAAAGTATACATTTGGTTAAGTTATGAAGGCATGAAGAGATAAAATAAAATGATTTTAGAAACATCAAAAATATCTTAGTAAATTATAACAAAGAAATATGAGTTACCATTTCCAAGCAGTTTGTGAAACACTTTGACAAGATCCGCATATTAAATAAGTTCCTTAACATAATAATAAATTTCTTCCAGTATCAAATATTGTAACAAAATTCAGAAAAAACTTCAGAATATTGTTGTCGTTGTTAGGTGCCATTCATGAAGGTGGCTCCACTTATAGCAACCCTCTGAATTACAAAATGAAACACTCACTTTTCTTTGGAATGGGTACAAATACAGATCTCTTCCCATCAGTCAGCCAGATAGCTGTCATCCAAATTTCTTGGCATAGATTAGTGAGTGCTTCCTGTGTTTCCTTGCTTTTTTGAAAGATTTCAATTTTTATTCCATCAATTGCTGGTGCCTTGTTCTTTGCCAATACCTTCAGTGCACCTTGGACTTCCTTCATCAGTATCATTGGCTCTTGATCATATACTACGTCTTGAAACAGTTGAACATCAACCATTTCCTTTTGGTACAGTGACTACATGTATTCCTTCCATCTTCTTTTGATGCTTTCTGCATCATTCAATAATTTGCACAGAGAATCCTTCATTAGTTTTGCGAAATTCTATCATGTGATATCCAGTGTTATTTCTATCACCAAGACCATATTTTTCAACAACCAGTCTTTCCTCTTTATTTCTAACTTCCACATATTGGGTTGCATGTTTGATCAATTTCAAACGGAACAAATAGGTTGTTGTTGTTAGGTGCCATCGAGTCAGTACGGACCCATAGCGACCTTATGCACAGCAGAAGGAAACACTGCCCGATCCTGGGCCAATCTCATTACTGTTGCCATGCTTGAGTCCATCGATGCTGCCATTTGGCCAGTCCATCTCATTGGGGGTCGTCCTCTTTTCCTCTGACCCTCCACCTTTCCAAACATGATATCCTTCTCCAGCAACTGGTCCCTCCTGACAATACGTCCAAAGTACGAGAGACAAAGTTTGGCCATCTTGTCCTCTAAGAAGCACTCTGGCTGCACTTCTTCCAAAACAGATCTATTGGTTCTTTGGCAGCCCATGGCACTTTCAATATTCTCCTCCAACACCATAACTTAAAGGCATCAATTATTCTATGGTCGTCCTTATTCACTGTCTAGCTTTCATATGCATATGAGGTTATTGAAACACCAGGGCTCGGGTCAGGTGTACCTTAGTTCTTAAGATGACATCTTTGCCCTTCAACACTCAAAAAAGGTCTTGTGCAGCAGATTAGCCTAATGCAATACGTCATTTGATTTCTTGACTGCTGCTTCCATAAGTGTTGACAGTTGATCCAAGAAGACTGAAGTCCTTGACAACTTCAATCTTTTCTCTGTTGATAAGAATGTTGTATCAACATAATTCATCATATAAATAAGAAAAAGGAAAAGAACCACATGATCGTATCGATTGACACAGAAAAGGCATTTGACAAAATCCAACATCCATTCCTGATAAAAACTCTCAACAAAGTAGGAATTGAAGGGAAATCCCTAAACATAATCAAGAGCATATATACAAAACCAACAGCCTACATCACGCTTAATGGAGAGAAACTGAAAGCCTTCCCTCTGCGAACAGGAATCAGACAGGATGCCCTTTATCACCGCTCCTATTCAATATTGTGCTG